AGTGATTTTACAGGTGTCACACAGCCATCGATAGCTCTTATATTTCTATTTTCTACTGTATTTTCTTTGCTATTGTATACCCAAGTAGTTGTTCTGATCCCATCGTACGTCTGAAGTACCGCACTTACTAATACGTGTATCACCAAGGTTCGTTTTTGGTGCTTGCAATGCGCTGACTGTAATGAATATACTTCCTTACGTGTATTTGACAATGTTACTTCTGAAGTCGTTACAAATAAAAATATAACTATTATTGTAAATAGATACATTGTCAAGCAAATAACAACCATACCAACACGACACAGTAACATGAACAAGGTTCGCAGACTATCTACGCGTCTATTTATTCTTTCCACCTCTTTCTTTAACCTGAAGAATCACGAATGACTGATTTTTCATGTTGTAGTAAGCCAGCGAGAAATTATCCTTCAGGAAGAATCCCTGAAATTGAAAAGCTATGAGCGAAAAAATAGAGGATCGACAATAAGACAACTATGGCAATAAAACACCGGCGAAAAATAATCACTGAGCCCGAAAATGGTATTACATCGGCCATCTTCCACTATTACGAGCGTTTATTTGGCCAAAATGCACAGTAAAACAGAATAGAAAAACGTACACTGGTGTGACTCGGAATGAGCGACCTGTTTCCTTACTTTATCACTTCATTTTTTGCCGACTGTTATATTTATGAATATTTCTCAAGTACGTGCGAAAAGGATTTTGGTACTATTCAACTATTACTACCTCAACAACACAAAATTTTTTCTCAGAAACTCAGAAGTTAGGGTAATTTATAAACATCTAATTCTTCCTGTACACTAATATCGCGTTAGTCTTTGGCGCTGACGCTATGGCTCGACCACCTTTCTCAGCAAATTGGTGCAGACCTGCATACTACGGTTATTTGGTATCTTGATTACGAATATAACTTTTGCTGTACTTGGCACGAAATCGCTAACCGCGTTGCGACGGCACCACGTGGTTGTTTCGATCCCCCGCACGTATTGTGCGAACTTCTGCCTGTTTCGTGCTGCGATAGTGATCCTTTTCTATGCTAAGGCTCAGCCTTAGCAGAAGAGGATCACTATCTCAGGAAAACGGTGCAGGCAAGAGCAGTAGGTTATAGGCTACGTGTCAGTAATCCCCCTTCCTCCACCTGAAACCAGTGGCATCCCATGTAGATGTGATACTTGTGTTCAGATGGTCAAACTACACCAGCGGACATCTTTTAGCGAATTTAGTGATTTACAGCACTTTGCAGCGTGCGCCTGTGGCGCAAGCGCCCGGCACATTCAGGCCAAGCTGATGCGCCGCTACTCGTGTTCTGGAGGTCCAACTACCACTGGAAACAAATTTTAAGCCAAATCTGTTCTTGAAGAAAAGTGGGTAAAAAAAACTAGTCTGATATGAGAAGACTGGGGTAGTCATAGTTGAACAGTGCTAAATTTCTAGCAGTAAAAAAAAGAAAACACAAAAATTCACTCACATCAAATACAAGCTTCTGCTTTCCCGTTGGCATACTGAGTTTGTCTTGAAGAGTCTGCTTGAGATCAGCTACCTAAACAATCTGTGGCAATGGCTCTCTCCATTTCCAGCAACAAAGACTAAAGTATTGGATAATGGGACGGAAGGTGAGTTTGTAAAGATGAAATGTGAAAAAGCGGATGAAAAGGGAGAAAGGCAGAAACAAGAGAGAGCGTTTGGTAAGGTAGAGTAACCCACCTGGGAAGTAACATCGATTTGTAATCCAATAATGGAGCCATCCATATTGAATTCTGCAGCGATCGGCAGCTGAATTCGTAAATCGATAGTACCACTGACCTGAAACATCACCTGGATTTTGTACGTCATAGGAGCAATACGTTGGCACAAATTACGAATAAATGGACCATAACTAATCCATAATAGATCTTCAGAGCACATAAAACAGGTACGGATTTCGGCGCAGTTCAGCGAAGGGGATGGTGAAGCATTTTGCAATTTCCTGCTTCACCAGTCCCGATTTAGTGGTCTCACTCTGGCAAGACCTTGGAACTGATCTAAAAGTAGGTCATCGAGCCATCATGGTAAGACCTGTCAACTCATGTGAGCTCACAAAATAGCTCTCTACATGGCTAGACAGTCGATGGGAACCTCTGCAAAATGCTCCTCCCCGCACCGCACCCCCCCCCCCCGCAGCCGAACTGCCCCATATTTCAATTGCCTTGACAGCAGATATCGGAAGTTTCTTGCAGTAAAAAAAAGCTTCCACAAATATATAGCACAAAATCCCATACGTCGACCTGCTAACAGTAGTTCGAAACTCACCTTAGTTAGCCATTCCGCCTCCGGTTCCAAATCTTCCTCAGTTCTTTGACGTTTTGGTGGCGGCCCTCCTTCTGGTACAGGCTGGAACAGTTTCTATGACTTTTGACCTCACAAAATCGTTACTGAAATACAAACCGGTGCTTGCTGCTGCATCGGAGGAGCCATTGATGGAGGTGGAGTTGGATATCCCGGCGGTAATCCCATCATTCCAGCAGGAATAGGAGGTGGTGGGTATAGTCGATTTACAACTGGAGTAGCATTAGCAGCAGATGCATTGCGAGCTGGAGGTTGCGCCACAGGCTGCGCGCCAATGCGCTCTTTTGTAGCATCCGGAAGAAAACCATGTTGACGATGAATTTCATGAATTTGTTGATCTGGAAACTGTCGTTCAGAAGACAGCAAAAAATAGTGATGTAAAAACTACACGACTTCTTCGTAAAAGTTAGCGAGCAACTAAGATGCACTTACCAATTGTAACTTGACTTTGTACAGCTAATGTGTGTGCTTCGCGGGTCTCTTCCGAACCGTCCCATATAAGTTGCTAAAAATAGCGCTCATAAAACTCAAACATCCAATAAACCAACTCTCTAGTGCCAACGAATTCGAGGTGATGTGGATAGTTTCATATAGGAAGGAAGTTCAAAATTAAACTATAGAATGATAGTAAACAAAAGAACTAAACAGAAATTTCCTCCTCTAGCTCTGCAGTACATTAACTAATCATTTAGTCTGTTATCATGTATGTTTTCATGTATATGTGTCACAAAATTAGTGTAAATGAAGAATCGCTTGCAGAAATCGGGTCATATTTAGATGACACATGGCCAAGTTGTAGCGTATCATCCACTGGACGAAGCACTACCCAGTACTTGCGGAAGATACACCGAAAAGTCTGTGTCACTCGAAATTTGTAATGCTCCAGAACAGCTCAGAGAATCACAAATGAAGAAAGGTGAAGGAGACATTCTTAGTGCGAGCGCTTTCCAAGTGGTTGTGATTACAAAATTAATATCTCAGTTTGCAGTCTGAGAGTTTAAAGAGAGAAGAAATGTAATCAACTGAAAAATATCTAAACTGAGATAAAGGCTCCAAAACAGTAGGCAAACCTAGCTTTTGAAGACAGTCCCGCGCTCAACCTTTTCGTAGGTGCAATTCCTTAGACAAGTAGTCTAGGGCACAGTCTGTAAGATTGTCTCACTTTCGGGGTTTAGCAGCAAGTAAAGAAGGCGCTACGGCCCTAACAAGTCGCAGTTATGACGCCTCCCTAGTTGTCCCGCCCACCGAAATTCAAAGGCTATTTTTGGCACGGGTTCAGCTTTTACACAGCGTTTTTCGTTTTTTTTTCACTGTTACATGGTATTAGCGTTGAATAGCATAAGACGAGCAGGTCGGGAGGACTTGCACAGTAAGTCTATCAAGGGGTCCTTGAAGTGTTCTCCATGAAATCCTTTTTCTTACTGGAGAGTCACTGAACGATTAAAGGTTTGTTAATGGAACCCACCACCCACAATATATAATCCGAGACTTGTCTCTAGGCCGTTTAGCCTCATGTTCCGTGCTCTAGCCAAGCTGCAAAGCGAAAGAACGAATGGGAAAACGAAAATGGGAGAAGAAGTGGAGGAAACAAACAACATACCACCAAAAAATGGGTACGAGGCGAACTGAGAACACCCTCAGGCATTGCTCGCAGTGGCCGAAATAGGGTGAAGAGACGCTTCTACGAAAAATTATCGATACGCACGAGTATCGATACGACAAGCGGTTCATTGCGAATCCGCGACCTTTGCGAAAAGATTCTGGTACGTATTGACAAGCGGTTCGGCGTTTCGCCCGCGCCAAGACGCTAGCTCCGTCCTGTATGGCGTTTTTCTTCCGGCAGGAGTTAGCAAAACCGATACGTATTCAGCTCTTTTCGCGAAAATACAATAAGCGCGCCGCCGTTTTGCCAGAATGTTTTATGATTGCAGAGCCGATACGCATAGATTGCTTTTAGTCGTCTCCCTGATTCGTCACGTTCTCAGACTCGGAAGAATACCTCGAGAAGAAGGCGGGTTTGAGGACTCATCTGATGGTCAGCTCAGAGAGAAAATGGAAAAAGTAGGATCAGGAGGAGGAAGCAAAGCCCAGTATCTGAAGCGTTGGTGTCCTTCCATTAGGCAGATTAAAATGTGTCAATTCGTGAGAGCTGACACATGCACAGTGGTTGTATACAGTAATAAATATGGTGCATGAAAAAAGTAAACAAACAAGGCTCCAAAAAGTAAAATCTAAAAAGGAATAAAGTGAATGAACAAAGTGCATAAGGCTCGCCGCACCTTAGATGGCTGAGGCTCTTCTTCACCGAGCTTTCTTCCAATGACGGTCTGTTCAGCTCCAGCAGCTCCAACACCGAAGATATCAGTACGACGCTCGGCAAATCTAGAACGAAGAAATGCAGATAATTAAAAAAAGGAAAAAGGCCACTCAACGCACCTCCCAAGATTTTTACTGATTTCTGCTCCAGGAGCAAGTACTGGCTCTTCGTTACCACGTTCGCCCATGAGCCGCTCTCGGTCCTCTTTGTATTGGGAATCGACTGTGTTGTAGCTGAAAACATGACATGATCTCCAGTTGAATGTGATTTTGCAGGTGAAACGGGAGTGTCCATAGTAACCGGGATTCACTTACCGCACATGCTCCTCCAGCTTATCTGACGGAATTCTCTCACCAGTGAGCGGTGAAATGAGCCATTTGTCCGCAGGGCGTTTGGCGGCATGAGCGGCTGAAAAGGAGAGCATCCGCACATGTTTAACCCACGCTAAGTTAATTATTGTTAAAAAACACACCTTTCTTAGGATCATAGTCCTTAACGATAAGATCCTTCTGACGAGTGGGTGGCAAGGGTGTCGCGAACTCTGCTGTTCCTGCTGGTGCTGAAGTTTCTTCAGTTTGAGGGGCTGCGGCTGCTGCAGGTGCAGGTTGTTCGGGCTCCACCTTAAATTATTTAAACGAGCTTTTATTTCATCCATGAACATTGAGGGGCATAAGAATCCGAGCTTCTCATGGATATTCGGACCCTCAACTTCTGAGCGAATAAAATTAATATCCTACGGGCTTGAGAACCAAGACCGCGTTCAGATTTCGCAGCGCGCTCGATCTCCTGACTGCATCGCGCGACACGACTGGGAGCGCTCCATCGCCAAGCAGTGCGCCTCCACAACGGCAGAATTTGAACTGGGGGGGGGGCGTTCACACAGTGCCATTTTGAATTAAGCCGTTGTGGCGGTGCACCATTTGGCGGTAGGGCGCTCTCGGTCGTGGTCGCGCGATCCAGTCGAGCGATGCGATCGCGCGATTGCGAAGTCTGAAGGCGGTCCCAGGAAAAGATCTTCAAAAGGCTCACTTCATTCTGAATAGACTGCTCGGCTTCATCTTCACTATCAGATTCATCCATATCCATTTCCATCGCTTCAGCTGTTTGTTTCTGGGCTTCACTTCTTGCCTCGAGCAGTATACGCGCACCGACATCTTTTGGAGTGCAAAGACCGGGCAAATTGGCTGAAACGGAATTGTTCTAGGAATATCAAGAGCGATACAGCAAACCCGTATAGAACCCCGGATCTGTACACCAGAAAACTCAAACATACTAGTGTCGCCGGGTTGGAAGTCGACAGTTTGTACAACAACGAAATCGTGCCAGTCGATAGATGCGTAGGCTACTCGTTCCTAAAGAAAAAAACTATGAGAGCAGTTTGACGAACAGCTGTTGTGACTCATCGAACTGCATAAAACGCAGCACAAAATGCAATCCTTCTTAGACAAAAGAAAAATGAAACCCACCTTTTCCGCTTCCTTTTCTTCTTTGTCTCTCAAATTTTTCTGATGTTTTTCCCACGACACTCTATAGTTCACATCTTCCATAAGTTTCTTTGTGTTTTCTTTCTCTGCGCGCAGGTCTTCTAAGATTGTATTTGGTGGGATAATCACCTAGAACACATTCTATAACTCAGGTCTGTTATCAGTCTCACAGTAAGGATACGAGGACAAGCTTCAAAGCATTTTAAAGGCACGCCCCGCATTCCTTGATGTTCACGCGCCCTCTTTGGGCATGGTAATCCTGCCAACAAGCAAGGATGATGTAATACATTGCAGTTAAAACAAGGAACATCATTGGTTGGGGATTTTGATCATGTCAGGTCCCCCTGGGGAGGTGGCCTGATAAGACCCCCTCCCCTTGCCCATCCTACCTAACACTTTCCAAGATTTTCGAATCTTCCTACCAGTTTTTAGAATGGATTTCCCTAAAATTTTCCTACTTTTCCTCCCGAAATTTTCTTGCCGAGCAAGGGTGGGGGGGGGGGTATATGGGTGTGTATAGCATATGTGAAACAGGAAAAACCGCGAAAACTCAACAGTCAGGGAACTTTTTCCAACGCCGCGCAAATTTCTCTCAGAAGGCACGTATGACTTCACCCGCTCCCAGCAATGAGAGAATACGCACCCCCTCTCCTCCAACTCCTAGGGGTCGGAACAAGAAAAATCAACTACCAAAAACGACTCCCATGTTGGAGAATCCCAACGATGGTGTGCCCTATTGAAAAAAAAACTTGAGGAGAGCGAAACCTGCTCGCAACGGGCGACGGCTCCGTTCATTGGCTACGGCGACGCCGACTTTCATTTCCAAAACTTCCTGGCGGTTCGGTTGTTCTTCAACTAACTCCCTCTGTTTCGAATGGCAAGAGGGGTTATGGAGAACGAGCAGACACGGACAAAGGAGAACTTATCCGACTACGCCTTTTCTTCGCTTCACGCTGTATAAGTGTGGCATTCTATATGAGGCCTTTCGGTCAGTTTTCTTCTTTTTAGGTCATTTTGACATTAGTATTTGGGCACCAATGTTGAGCCCGTGGCGTGCTTTTACACCCCAAGGACAGAAAAATAATGATATTCTGTACGGAACCCTGTACACTCGGCCAAGGGACTAAATCAAATCAAGACAGCGGAAATCTTTGAAAGACTTGACCTTGAAAGAGCCTACCTTTGTGTATTGCTCCACAAGCTTTGTGAAATAGGCAAAATTAGAATGCTGGGGCTTCAGAAAGTCGAACTGGAAGTTGCGAGCCTCCCTGGTCATCAGCTGGGTAAGAAATTGGCGTCCATTCCGAGCGACAAACAGCGCAGTCATTTTTATCAGATCACTGAACGCAATTTCACTCAAACATCTTGATCATTAGAAAATGGAGGAAGGAACTGACAGGTCATAGGCGTTGATCGTTGCAGGATCAGCACAAAACTCGAACGCTGGTGGCGGCTTTGTCGGCACAAAGTCAGCTTTTTTCACGGCATCTTTGACTGCTTCTGGAAGTTGGGGTTTTGTTGCAGCTGAAGCAGCGTCAACTTTCCCTTCTTGAAAGTCTCGAACCTAAATGGACCAAAAGCTAATAAATGTACATATCGATGCTTATAATCCACTGCATATTTTCTTGCTAAAATGAAGGAAACAGCGAAAGTAACCGCAGTAATTGGGAAAATTCCCCCTGAAAAAAAAACAAGAAAATGCAAAGAATACCTTTGTTTGTAGTATGCATTGTATGGATCCGTGGGACTGAGAAAGTTGAAACGTTTGTTGTTAGCCTCCTTTTCACGAATCTTGTTTTCGAAATCCACTCCATTTCGTGCCACGAATGCAGCAGTTTTGTCAACAATAGCTAAATTTCAATAAAGAACTATAAGTGTTACTGCAACAAATGTTAAGCATGAAATGAGCCTGCAGAAACATGAAATTATTACTTCGAATATCCGGAGGTGGGTAGATAAGTCCGATAATGGCACGTCCACTCAGTGACGGCTCATTATTCATAGAATCTTCCTCGCGATGCGAAACTACACTAACTGCGGTAGGTGGCATTATCCCTGGAAAAATATGAAATTTTAGTTCTTCGCGTGAAAGCAATACCAACTACAGATAGAGGAATTTCTAGCGAACAGAGCTGAATAGTGAACAGAAATGATCAGTCATTCGTAGAATAACAGAACAACGAAAGGATTTTTTGCTTGTTCGAAATGTCACTTTTGAACTTCCAGTTACTGCATAGAACAGGTGTCCGAATTTAGAGAGATGCAATGTTTCTATAACATCACTCCAATAGGAACATTCTGAATGTTATCGATAGGAGGTGAGCGACGAGCTGATTTAGGTGAGAGATTTCCTCTGGGATGTATTCACGAACGCAGAAACTTCAAAGGAAATAATATTTAAATAATAACGCAGAGCTTCTACAGATTCCGAAATCAGATAATGCAAGCAAAGGTGAACATCTTCAAAGTAAACCCATGATATAAACCACTGTACTAAACAGCGCACTGAAGTAATAAATAAACCACGCCTTCCCATTCGAAATAGAACCTCTCATTCGTCTCTTGATTTCTACATGATTTCTTACATTATTTCAAAGAACAATAATACTAGACACACAGATAAAAATGCACAGAAGAAAACAACCAACGCAAGCAAAACAGAAGCCAAAGGCGTGAAGAGCCGTGAAGTAAAATGCGAGCAGTGTAATGCACTCAAAGTCGGTTGTTGCACACGCTGATTTCGAATTTCTTTTGACCGCTTCCGGTTGCCGAAGGTTTGCTTGAATTTTCGAATAATGAAATAAGGATTCGTTTCCAGATGCTCACCTGTCGGATATTACCTCGAATATGCTCACGCTTACCGCTTTCTCCTAGTGTTAGTTGTATGAGAGGCGTTGACTTGGTTCATTTCTCGACAACAAGTAAACAGAATGACAGGTGAGTATGTATTATTTCAGGGAAATAGTCTGACTGCAATGTTCTATGAGTTCTTATAGCAAAAAATCTGACGCTGATTTGGAGAAGGAACTGGAACGACTCAACGAAGATTTGAAGAAGGATTTCGATTCCAAAGTGAAAGACAGTGAAGAGGAAATTGACAAGAACTTTATGAACTTCAAGGCAAAAGCTGAGGTTTGTTTTCTCGCGACTGTGACACCTTCTGTCAAGTTTTTACTTATAAATTTCATATTGTCTGAGAGGACCCGAACGTTCTCTCTCGTATGTTTCCCGCCATCTTCTTGTTATGTGATAGTTTTTAGCGCGACGCATACCAACGAAGTGGCACAATATTCAACTGGAAAGTGGCTGCTAAAACGCTAGGAATTGGTGCTGCTTGCCTGGCTCTCCTCTTTTACATCCGTAAAATTGTGATTATTTTCGTACAACTACCTAAATACTTTGTGGTTGTTGGTCCTATCTACAGCTTAGATAGATTTATTGTAGAGGATGGAAGAACGAGAAAAACACATCAAATATTTGGCGGGTAAAGCCCGAATCGGCGGAGATTGGGAGCTGGTCAACACTGAAGGTCAACCATTCTTCTCTTTTGTTTTTTTTATGTTTACTATGCCCTTTCAATTTTTCCGAGTCGAAATTTCGTGAAGTCATGTTTTTTTTTGCCTTCAGGAAAATTGGAGGGATCAGAGCAATTAAAGGGAAATTGGTTGCTTTTGTATTTTGGCTTCACGCATTGCCCTGATATCTGCCCGGACGAGATAGAGAAAATGGTCAAGGTAAGTGGATATTCAGTGCACATTCTTTCCTTGGTCAATCACAATGTTGAGAATTATAGAAAGGGTACTCAGCATGGTGTTGTTGAGCGGCTTTATACTGCGTTCATACTTTGTAGCGGCGTCCACCAGCGCAAGGAGGCGTTTCGAACGAACGCCAGCGCCGGCGACTAGTAAAGTATAAATATAGATCTAGCAAACGACAGGGTCCAACAGCGTTTGTCAGGGTGCAACACTGTCGAGTGGAGAGTATGGAGGTAATAGACAGCTGGACTAGACTAGACTACTTCCACTCCTGGACGTTGGCGGACGC